CCCAGTTAAACAAGGCTCGCGAACCTTCCGGCCAGAGCTTGAGTTGCAAATTAAAGATGAGGTCCAAAAGTTGTTAGTAGCCGGCTTCATCAAGCCTATCATTCATCCCACGTGGTTAGCCAACATCGTTCCTGTGCAGAAGAAGAATGGCCAACTCAGGGTGTGTGTTGATTTCAGGGATCTTAACAAGGCCTACCCAAAGGATGACTTCCCTTTGCCCATTATTGATACTCTGGTCGATGGCACTGTAAGCCATGAAATGTTCTCTTTTATGAATGGTTTTAGTGGTTACAATTAGATCCGAATGGCCGAGGGTGATGCAGAAAAGACAGCCTTTCGAATGCCTCTTGGTAATTTTCACTTTACTGTCATACCTTTCGGTTTGAAAAATGCAGGTGCCATATACCAACGAGCCATAACTGCTATCTTCCATGATGTACTCCATCACAATCTCGAAGATTATATGGACGATTTGGTGGTCAAGTCTAAACAAAAAGCTAATCATTTCCATGACTTACGCCAAGTGTTCGAGCGTTGCCGCCAGTATAATCTCAAAATGAATCCCCTCAAATGTGCTTTTGGCGTCAACCATGGCAAGTTCTTAGGTTTTATGGTCACTCGCCAGGGTATTGAAGTCGATCCAGCGAAAGCCAAAGTAATTCTTGACATGCCATCTCCAACGACTTCTAAGCAGCTAAAAAGCTTTCTGGGCAAAGTTTCTTATCTTCGTCGATTCCTGCCAGCCCTCGCGGAGGCAACACACGCCTTTAGTACCCTTGTTAAGGGAAAAACGAAGTTCTCATGGACGGATATTCATCAGGCAGCCTTCGAGCGGATCAAACACGTGCTATTGTCCCCGCAGATCATGCATGCTCCCCAAAAAGACCAACCCCTCTTCCTGAATGTTACTTCTACACCTCGATCCATTGGGGCACTGCTCGCACAGAAGATTGATAATCAAGAACGCCCGGTCTATTACATTAGTCGTCTGATCTGTGACGCTGAAGAATGGTATTCCCTTATTGAAAACATTGTCTCGTTTTGGTCTTTGCCGCGCATAAATTCTGGCACTACTTCCTCGCTCATCGCATCATTCTCATCACTAAATGCGATCCCTACAGGCACCTTCTCTCCAAACCTATGCTTACAGGCAAGGCCACACAATGGCTTTTCTCCTTAGCAGAATTTGACATCATCTGCCAACCGCTGAAGGCCATTAAAAGTCAAGCTCTCGCGGATTTGCTCACTCAATTCCCCAACGCAACTCACGAGCCGGTGGATGAACAGTTACCTCTCGATGACCTACAGGTCGCCTCTCTCAAGCAAGCTCAAGAATGGCACTTGTCTTTTGACGGTTCTTCCATCGCAAAGGGCGGAGGCGCGGGCATTGTACTCTCCTACTCGACCCTCACCTCCACCGCAGTTGTCAAACTTGACTTCAAGTGCACTAACAACGAACCTGAATATGAAGCACTCATCCTGGGGCTATTAACAGCACTTGATAAGCAAATCTCCCGGTTATGCATCGATGACGATTCAAAGTTGATTGTCAAGCAGACTTCAGGTGAGTTTACAATTCGAGAGCCTTCTTTAGTCTCGTATCGCACAATCATTCAAAAGCTTCTTTCTCGATTCACTACCGTTCGCTTGGCTCATGTCTCTCGATCTGTCAATCGATATCCCGATGCTCTTGTTACGCTCGTATCCAAACTTGACATCTTTGGCCCCACTCAACAGATCACTGTTCAAAAACAAACGTAGCCTGCCATCGCTAGTTTGCTCCCTCTTGAAGATATCACTGATTGGCGTCGCCCAATTATCGATCAAATGCAGACCTTCACCGGTTCATTACCCCTTGCTTAGCTCAAACTCTTTCATCTGATCCAAGGAGTCCTTTATCATCGATCCCCCTCCGGCATCCTCAGTCGCTGTCTCGGGGACGCCGAGGCTCGCAAAGTTCTTCACTGTGTTCATCAGCAACATTGTGCTACTACTAATATCGCTCTTTACCGGCGGCTCTAGCGCCAAGGCTATTACTGGCCTCAAATGTCCAGTCAGGCTACTGCGTTGCAACGCGCATGTGTTGCTTGCCAGAAATGCCCTGATGAAACTGAGGTCCTCAAGCTTGAGTTAGCTGATTGGCAAACCCCCTTCATTCGTTACCTCCAACATAGTCATCGCCCAGACAATCCAACCTTAGCCGCCAAGCTCAAGCACCAAGCGTCACGCTTCCAAGTTTGCGATGGTCATTTGTTCCGCCTTTCTCGTGAAGGGCACCTCCTGCGATGCCTTGCTGGCGCTGAGATCCGTGAAGCACTTCATCAAGCTCACTCTTTCGAGCATCAGGGTGCCTACAAATTGTTTCAACACTTGATCCACAAAGGGCTCTACTGGCCAACTATGGAGCACGATGCTAAGATGCTTGTTCAACAATGTCAACCGTGTCAATACCATCACCATCGGATCCATACTCCCTCAACAGTACTTCATCCACTTGCTACACCTTGGCCCTTCCACACTTAGGGTATGGACCTCATTGGCCCAATCAATCCTACAGTTACTCAAATGCATTGGATCCTCACAGTTACAGATTTCTTTTCCAAGTGGTTTAAAGCCCTCCCCTTGCGCCATGCCACAGGCATCGCTGTTACAGCCTTTTTTCGTGAAAGTATCATTTGCCGGTTCGGCATCCCAGCGATCATCCTCTCAGACAATGGCACCCCCTTTGTTAATTATTGGGTTGCTCAGCTTCTTCAGCAATATAATATCACACAACGCCGATCTTCTGCTTACTATCCCAAAGGCAACGGCTAAGCTGAAACAATCAACAAATCTCTCTTTAAAATCATCAGTCGCATGGTCATCGAGCACAAATCTAATTGGGTCGATCAGTTGCCTTTAGCTCTTTGGGCCCATCGCACCTCCAAAAAGCGCGCTACAGGCCAAACTCCTTTTTCCCTCCTGTACTGCACAGAAGCTATTCTCCTAGTCGAGATTGCTATTCCTGCTGCTGCTTTGGCCGCTCGAAGCGAGGTTGACCACTTCACTCATCTTGAGGCCTTAGATGAATGACGGGAGTTAGCACGCCAACATCTTAAGGTTTACTAACACACCTTGGCAAAGTCTTATAACAAGCATGTATGACCTCATACTTTCCAGGTAGGTGACTTTGTTCTTAAAGCTGCTAAACACATTATGCACAACACTTCTGCCCCAAATTTCACCCCCAAATGGGAAAGGCCTTATATTGTCATTGAGGTTCAACCCAGTGATTACTGCAAATTGCAAGGTGATGGGCGCAAGGCTGAACCCATAAATTCCAGTTGGTTAAAGTTTTACCACAGTTAGTTCTTTTGTACTTTGTGTTAGTCCTATATCAGAAATAATATATGAAAGTTTGTTATCACACTATTTCTATAACTGCTCAACTTTCATTCAATAACAAAAGATAATATATAATGGACCTGCTGGTCATTAATCTACAATCATTAGCCTACTCATAACTTAGCAGAATGTTTACATCGCCACCAAGCTCGTTATATGTCTCTTCTACTAGAGCCCGCTGTTGTTCTGCCATCGCCAGGCGAGCCTAAATCTCCTCCATCATACGTCTGTCTCGCTCAATTCGGGCATCTAACTCTGCCATCTCCTTTGCCAGGAGAGCTTGCCCCACCACTCGCTCGTAAGCGTTAAGTCTCCTGTTCAGCCATTTTATTTCCACTCGGTCCTTGAGCAGCTCAATTAGCTCGCGGGCCTCCTGCACTACTTCGTCTGACCTCTCCCTTCGTGCCACAGTCGCAAATATTTCGAGTACTCACCCCAAGGCTTCGTACCCAAAGCAATGGAACATCGGATGCCTTCTTCCGATCGCCTCCATTGTCGTTGGCTGCGCTCGGTTCGCCGTCTCTAGCAAGGGGATGAAGTGTGCCCAATCATCACTGTCTCCTCCATCGCAACCATTGCACGATCCACCCCATTCTGTTGCCTTTCTTCGACTGGGGGCACCCCACCTATCCCACTATTTTTGCCACTTTCAGCTTCCTCGTCCGACACTCGCCTATTCAAGGTACTGTTTGAGCCTTCCAAGGAAGATTGCGATTGTAGCACTCGTGAGGGCCTATCTGTATCTCCGCTTCCATATCTTCCAACCTCACAGTGTCTCCTGAGGCCTGTTCTTCCACTGTTACCTCCTCTTTCTCCTTCGCATTGGATGCCCCCTCACCCGGGTATTCTAATAGCAGTATGGGCATCAGCGATCTTGGTATTGAGGGCTTCTCCACTCGTGGCATATGCAAGATGGTTATCGGCGTCTTCTTTACAATCTCCAGCCGACGTCCTGCAACCCACAAATGATATTAATTGTAATTCAACACATGGTAAATCGAACCATCATTGTTTCACTACTTACCCATCGCTGTTCGGATCAGAGGCAAGGAGCTCTCAACTGTCATCAGTCGTCTGATGATATCTCTTTTAGAGTCCCCGGCAGTTAACACTGCCCCGACACCACTAAAACTTTCGCCCGCGCTCGATACCTCCGCCGTCTCCACCTTTTCTACCCTCGGCGAGGCATCATCACTACTGATCTCCACCACTTCTTCTGTCTCCCACATCGACTCTTTATCCTCTGATACTTGGATTACCGAGGTTTTCCACTTTTGTGTCTCCGGTTAGCGATCGGCTCTTCACTGTCCACTTTTTTGGACTGAGCCTTCGTCGATGCCCTTCTACCTCTTGGCTTGACAGGTGCAATAGATAAATATGCCTCGGGCACAGCATCATACGCTACATCGCCTATTTCTATAACCAAGGGAGCCATTATCGATCTATGGCCTCGCACTCCTAGCCTGGGCATGCGCAGGGACACATCATCCTTGTATATAGGCATAAGAGTAAAAGGATCAGGAGTCTGTAGGCCAAACCTCCTGAAGGCCCTCACGTAATCTACCTAAAATTGCCTATATTTTCCTATTATATCCCATGGCGATTTCGCGAAGGAATCACGATACTGCCATTTTCTTCCTCGGATAGGTCATATAGTACACTATACTGGAATAAGACTTTGTCAAATTCATCATATATTTCTTCCAAGCCACAGTCGCTTGGAACCCTTGATCATCGCCAAATTGCCTGGTTACCCGCCTAGGGTTATACACTTTGCTTACATCGCCCAGCTCAAATCGCCCAGGCAGATGTCTTGGCAGCACCACTAAGGCAAGAGTTTGCTTATTTGCATCCCTCGTTTCTTGCCTTGGCGTGAACACTCTCGCATATTCCCAATAGATCCCCATGCCCGCCACCCCTGCTATCTCCTCTCGATAGGGCCTGAACACGAACTCTCGCTCGGAGTCTATCACTTCCCCAAGTGCCCGCTTGCACATCCGCCCTGACCAACGTCTTCCTCGTGCCCCATGGTCGCTCAACTCCAAGGGTAAATGGCTATACGCGGGGAATCTTTTGTACAAAAACATTTGTAAAAACCCACTGCCTATATAAGACACCATGGGGTAGCGACCAGTTGAGCGCATGCTATTTTCAGCAATCATGTCCAATCGATGGTACAATGTCCCCAAGAATAACGGCCCCGGTGGGATTACAATCCCACTTGCTATCTTCACCGCTATCAGGCACCATCGACTCAAGGGTGCATTGTCTGGGGTCCCTGGGAATATATACTTGGACAACCAGTACAGTACATATGCTGCGAGTTCTGCAGGATGTCCAATCTTGTCTCCATTAACAAAAGGATTCTCTGACTTGTCCCCCTTGAAGGAAGGCTGCAGGTCCTTGAACCAGTAGCATATCCAGGCTCCTGTTGTACATTTTTTGGCTCCTTTCGCTCTCTCTTCGCGTTTAGTACCCTTCGCATTAAAAAAGGATCCATAATTCTTGGTCTTCTCCAACCTTTCCTCTAATGCAGCCATGATACCCTTCTCCGCTTCATCCATCGTCAGGGGCACTGTAAATCCTCTATCCATGACATGCAGGCCAAGTAATTGCGCCACGTCTTCCAATGTGGGTGTAAATTCTCCCCACTTTGCCACAAATATGTGGGTTGCACTACACCATCTTGACACTAGCAATTCCAATCCTGGGGTATCGCGAGGCACTTTCAATTTACGGGACAGACGCATGGCTTGCGCAACTCGTGCTTGTCGCAGCCATAGCATATACATTTCGTGGCTGAAGATGTGCTCAGACCATTCCTCCCATCCTGCACATGGGCCCACTGACGTTTTGCACTCTATAAAACAAAAGGGATACATCCCTTGTTTAATGATGAATCGGTGTACAGAGTTCGCCGGCGGCTAAGCTCCTGCTTCCAAGGCGACCTCTCCTTCCATTAACTGGGCCACATCACTGTCAATCTCGTCACTGGCTATGTCTCTTGTAGCTGTCCAGAACCTATCCATGGGTCCAAAGAGCAGAGTCCTCTTCCATTCCTCCTCCGGCGGTACTTTCGGCACTGGTTCACCGGGTTTGCTCAACTGCTTTCTCTTTGTCATTTTATCAAATATCTTACCCGCTCTTACACATAGTGATAGCTTTGTTGTCCTCACACACTTGTTTGTTTAACACAATACGCTAACTCCACTTTGCTTCTTGGCTTGGCACTGTGTTTCCCTTTTTTCTTTTCTTTCTGTAATGGTTTCCTTTTTTCTCTGACCTGGTTCTATATTTAGACCACGATTAAAGCTTTGGAGAAGACGACGACACCGAACAGTTATGTCTCATCACCTCCCCATTAAATAAGTAACTGTCAGCAGTCGAAAAGACATCAGTTTCCAAAGCAAGACATTATTACGTTTTCTATGCACGCGCCGCTTTATCCTTTTATTTCAAAAATCAAAAACGCCACGTGCAGGGGGACTAAATGTGGATGTGGTCCAGCCATGTCACCAAGGGCCAAGTCAAACAGTCAACACTCTGACAAAGTCCACCTCAGTAAGGCATGTGATAGTTGATCACTGGGCCTCAATCTTAGCCCTACATTCGGTCGATGGGCCTTGAACCTCGATCTGAGTCACAAATCATCGATCAAAACCTTGGTCTGAGTCATAAATTGTCGATCTTGGGACCTTGAACCTCGATCTGACCTTTTGACAATCTGTCGGTCGATGGGCATTGAACCTCGATCAGTTAATCACAAATCATTGATCAACGAGCCTTGAACCTTGATTTGAGTCACAAATCGTTGATCGACGGGTCTTGAACCTCGATATGACCTTTTTGACAATCTGTCAGTCGATGGGCCTTGAACCTCGATCCGTTAATCACAAACCATCGATCAACGGGCCTTGAACCTTGATTCGAATCACAAATTGTCGATTGACGGGCCTCGAACCTCGATCTGACCCTTTCACAATCTGTCGATCGACCTGCCTAGAACCTCGATCTGACCTTTTTTTACAATCTGTCGATCGACAGGCCTTGAACCTTGATTTGACATTACTATGAACCATCGATCGATAGGCATCGAACCTTGATCCAAGCAATGAAGAGTTATGGTAGGGCTCTTCAAGCGATATTGGGATGCAGAAGGGATTTTGGAATAGAGGATGGAAAATTAGTAATGTCTTGCTGTTACAGGGCTAAATTACACCACGAATTTTTGCCTCTGTAATGGCACTTGGGGCCACCAAGTCTCAGCCAACACAACAACACAATACACACAGTATAGAAATGTAAAGAAGACACACACAGTTTACAGGGACAAGCCCCAACCTTTGCTCATATTAAACATATTACAAAGGAACATGAGTTCGTACAAGGAACAACTAAGGCTCACACCCTCCTCTCTGTTCCCTCTACAAAGCCCACCTTAGCATTATATAGGCCACTCTTAAAACCGCCCATAACTGCCCACTAAGATGATGGATGACACCCCCATCCACCTAGGGTCGTGCTGGCACCCTCTAAATGTGCCAGCACTATAATGCAGTTGACAGGCCCAACTGCTAGACTTGTTGGCATGTTTTGCTCATGCCACATAACCACAAGAAGTTTCTGCATAGTGGAAGAAACCACCCTTAACCGCCTGTGTGTTGGTCCTCTCAGAATTGTGCCACATGCTTGGGAGGTTACTCAGCACTCCCCCACTTCCCATGATGAGTTGGAAGTGCTAGTAACTTCCCCCAACTGACCGAGCCCACTAAGCCACCACCTCTTGTAACCGCAAGCCATGACTTTGTGTTGTCTATGCTCTAGCCACATCTGAGTCAACCTTGTGAACCTAGCCCAAGCCAAGTCTACCAATCTGCACCCACATATATATGTCTCTGAGTGCATGGCATGCCAAGCCATGCATGCCCATGCGCATGCTCGGGTGCAAGCCAAAGTGCACGCCGGCACACACACTAGTGCCCTTCTACGCGCGCCATGTTTGAACCTTCATGCGCCCGTGGCTGTAAGCCCGCCTGGACGCCCATGCGCACGTTGAGCTAGACGTTCGCTCACACTAGGTTGGATGCCTGCTCGCGCGCCCACCTACACGCCCACACGCACGCCGCTGCACACCAGCGCGCGTGTCCGTGCCCGCCTGTTTGCCCTTCAATATCTTGGATGCTCCCCACTTGTGCAACCATCTTAGAATGGTGCAACATGTGCCCATGCACGTTGGCTAAGCCCTCTAAGCAAGCCATGCCATAGCCCAACCGATGTGCTCAACAGAACCCCCTAGTATAGTCTTAAGGAAATCCAGCACTCTGACAGGAGTAAACATCACCCATGCTTGAGGAGTCATAATGGCTTTTCAGGCCTTTCCCGACATCCAAATTGAGTGCCGTCTGCGCCAACCAGCTTCTATGGACTCAAGGTACCTCCCATAAAGATCCCGAGTCAAAACTCCAAGTTTCATTTTTCACCATATTTACGAAAGTGCCACTAGGCACCCTCAGTGCACGCCGAGCATCCTTTTAAGCATTATGTGTGCACGCTGAGCATCTTGTGCACGCTGACAACCCACTGAGCATCCTCATGGCTGTCTAACCAAAGCCAAAGTATTCCCAAGACATGGCATGGCCTTGAAATGCCCATGTCTTCCCTTTGACAACCGTCAAGGGGCTAACAAACCACCCCCACCAGAAGAAGTCGACGCCCTCGTCGACTTGTCCAAGTACTCCTTTACCTGTTTCTCAAACTGCCATAATGTCACATCCCTTTCCCAACTCGCCTCTGCTTCACTGCATCCTTTCCATTGCACCAAGTAATCAGTTCTGTGATTTTTCTTACTCTGACCCTGGGTCCGGTGAGACAAAATTTTCTCCACCTTCTTGTTAAACTGAAACCGAATAGCAGGTGGGGCTCTCTTAGCCTGCTGTCTTGATGTATCTGCAGTGTCCTCATGAAAAGGCTTGAGGAAACTCACATGAAAAGTAGGATGGACCTTCAGTCTCTCAGATAACTGTAATCTGTAAGCAACATTCCCCACTTTCTTCATAACTTCAAATGGACCATCATACTTCTGAATCAGCCCTCTGTGAACAGTCTTGTTACTTATCTTCTTCCAAATTTGTGGAGTCAACTTCAACAGAACCTTGTCTCCCACTTGGAACTCTAATGGCCTTCTCCCTTTATCTGCATACTTTTTCATCCTTCTCGCAGCCTTGGCAAGGCTGTCCTGTGCCTCCTCCACCATCTTTTGCATGGAACGGGCATATCGGTATGCTGCAGGGCATCTTCCACCAGTCCTCTGCACTGCCACCTCCTGTGGTGTGCAAGGTTGTTGCCCTGTTGCCAACTCAAAGGGACTCATTCCTGTTGCTGAAGACCTGTGTAAATTATAAGAGAATTGTGCAGTGTCTAGCAACTCCAGCCAATTTTTCTGACTTGCAGTGACATAGTGCCTCAGATATTCTTCCAATAACTGGTTCATCCTTTCAGTCTGTCCGTCAGTCTGAGGATGGTTTGCTGTGGAGAGCTTCAGTTCAGAACCCATCAAGCCAAATATCACTATCCAGAACCTTCCCGTAAATCTGGTGTCACGATCACTAACAATATCTTCGGGCAAGCCAAAATATTTCACCACAAACTTATGAAATAAACCAGCAGCAACTTCCGCTAGGCATGCATGTGGTGCAGCAATAAAAATTGCATACTTAGAGAATCTATCTACAACCACAAAAATAGATCTCATACCTTCCACTTTAGGAAAACCAGAAATGAAGTCCATTGAAACTGACTGCCATGGACGCTCTGGTATAGGCAAGGGTTGCAGTAGCCCTACCTCCTTCTTCCTCTCATGTTTGTCTTTCTGACAAACCAAGCAAGTCTTGACATATAACTCTATGTCATCCTCTATCTTGGGCCAGTAATATGATCTGGATATCAACGTCAGCATTCTATCCACCCCTGGATGTCCAGCCCACTGAGGATCATGCATTTCCCACATTAGTTCCCGTCTCAAACCTCCAACAGGAACATATAATCTACCTCCTCTGGCGTAGAGTAGATTATCTTCAATCCAGTACTTTCTGACTTCACCATCAGTAACCTGTTGCTTTAGTTTCTGATAGGCATTGTCGGACTGAGATTGCTCTTTGATTCTGTCAAGGAAATCAGTATACACCATTGTCAACGACGCCACATACTCCTGCACTTCTTTCCTACTCAAGGCATCAGCAACTTGATTCTGCTTTCCAGGTTTGTGAACCCATACAAAATTGAACTCCCCAAGAAACTCTTGCCAACGAGCTTGCTTTGGAGTAAGCTTTTTCTGTGTCTTGAAGTAGGTATTGGCCACATTATCAGTTACCACTGCAAATTTGGTACCCAACAGATAGTGCTTCCATGCGTCAAGACAATGTATCACTGCAGTCATCTCCTTCTCGTGAGTTGTATAACTCTATTCAGCATCCTTAAGCTTCCTACTTTCAAAGGCACATGGGTGTCCTTCTTGGACTAGGACCCCACCAATTGCTCTATCAGAGGCATCAGTATGCACTTCAAATGGCAAACCAAAGTCAGGCAGTCTCAAGACCGGTTCTGTAGACACTGTCTGCTTAAGCATCTCAAAAGCATTCTGGCACTCCTCAGACCAAACCCACTGTTTGTCCTTCTTCAGCAAGTCCGTTAAAGGACTAACCTTCTTGGAATACCCCTTTATAAACTTTCTGTAGTAGTTTGCCAACCCTAGAAAAGATCTCAACTCTGTCACTTTGGTAGGTGCAGACCAATC